AAAAAAAAAAAAAATCTATATAAGTAATCTCTATGCTACACCAAAAAATAGTAAATAAAAAATGTTAATCGTGCAGATGTCTTGTGTTTTCTCTACAGGGCCTTGGAGCTGCATGTGCTGTCGTCTGATGCGTGGTTCTCTGATGGTGTCGCTTACGCCAAGCTGCCCTGGCTGTCCTCTACCCTGCTGCCTAAACTGGTGCGCTGGGCCGTGGATTGCAAGAGCAGTGAGTTCAGGAGCACCTTGTCTCTGCTGCCCGTCGAGAAGTACAGCGTTACATACCAGCAGCTGAAGGAGAAGTACAAGGCCATGGTCAAGGTGGATGCTCTGAGGCTTGTCTGTTCCTGTGTTTGCTGCATGTGCTGATGTGTTGAGATCTTTCTAGATGTTTTTTTTTTGTCACATGCTTTCTAGGTTTGGCCTGAGGTTACAGATCCTGAGAAGTTTGTGTATGAGGATGTTGCTATTGCTACGTATCTCCTGGTAGGTTCAAACGTGGTTTTTAATGTTTTTTTTCCAACGCAAAAAATCAATGAGAGTCAAAAACAGTGTGTCTGAAGATTGTGTGTGAATTGAAGAATGATTCCAAATGTGTCCAAACATGTATGTGCGTTGGCGAAAATCCCTTTTACCTGTTGTCATGTCATGCAACTGAAGCTGGGACAGTCAATTTAAGTGTGAAAAAAGGCTTTGACCCAGTGTATCAGTTCATTCGTCATGCCAGAGGCAGGTGAAAGGGTGTCAGTAGGAGCAGCAGGTGTCACAGTGCAGCTGTAAATTGTTTTTTTTTTGTTTTTTTTACTGAAATGATCGAAAGCTCTTTGTCCCTATGGCTGCAGGTGCTGTGGGCTGAGGAGAGGTCAGAGAAGAATCTCACTGCCAGGCAGTCCTTTGTAGACCTCGGCTGTGGAAACGGCCTCCTGGTTCACATACTGACAAATGAAGGGGTGAGTGAGGGGCTGGATGGACGTTGGCTGTTTGCTCTTTTAGGAATTAATCTGTTAGATCAAAAACTCTACCAGAGCTGAGTATTGTGTGTCACTGACTGATTAAATAGTTTTGTGCAGTAGGTGACTGAAAGCTGATCTCATTTGTAATAATCTAGTGTATTTCCTGGTAAAAACCTTCATGACAGCCAACAACAAACAACTAGGATGTGATAACGCTGTTGGAGATGAGTGGTTTTCTGATAGTGCCTTTATGATCTATTTTTATGATCAGACTGAGGTAAGAACTGAACTATCAGATGCCAGTGTTGTGTTGGATGATGCAGGATATTAATCAGCAAAATTCCACCTGTGCACTCTTGATTACATCCAGTCGTCCTTAAATGTATTCATACCCTTCCATTAAAGAAGAGGCAAAAATTCACAATAGCCACTCAAATAATTAGAAACGAAAAAAAGTAATAATAAATAAAAATTTGCTAAATTATAATTCAATGAAATAAGACCTTACTTTTGAATTGTGGTTGAAAAGAATAATTAAAAAAAACAAAAAAACAAAAACAAAACTTTCCTGGACAAATTAGTAGCTGATGAGCAGTGCTCCACAATCCAAATAGCTGTCAACAGGTGCAGAAGTCTGATTGAGAGTTACAGAAAACACTTGATTGCAGTGATTTTCTCAAAGGGTTGTTCAACTAAATGCTAGTTTACGGGTCCCATCATGCTTGTTCGCTTGTTTTTTTTTTTTTTTTAATATATAGTTCTGTTGAACCACAATTCAAAAGCAATGTCATGATTTTCATTAAATTTTTATTCATTATTACTTTTGTCAAATTCAGCTTATTTCAGTGACAGATGATTTTGTTCCTTCTTCAATGGGAGGGTATGAATACATTTGAGGACGACTGTAGGTTAGTACGGCTTGTTCATCTGTTTTCACACATGTGAAAGAGAAGATTGTATCTTAGCCTTACTGTCTTCTACAGGCTTTAATTTAAATGTCAGGCTGGTTCTAGTTGACAAAATAATCACTTGCTATTATAAAATGACTGCTGGTGTTGAAAGTAATATTTATTGTGAAATTGACTTGATATCATTAACAACAACAGTGACAACATGTTGATGTTTAAGTGGTTCATCATGTCAGTTTAGCATATTAAACATTTTCATTTGCTTACTAACACTAAACCATGATGGAACGAGGATTAGCTTCAAAGATAATTAATCATAAATCGGGGTATTGAACAAATGTAAATTTTGACGTGATGATTGCTGATGGTGCTGAGGTGAGCATGATTGGCTGTAGCAATTTTTAAGGCACGTCATCCAATAGTTGTTGAAGTATTTCACTCTGGAGTAGGGCTGCACCAGTTGCTTTCACTCATGATTAATCTCCTGATTATTTTCTGAATTACTGATAAATCATTTTGTCTTTAGAATGTAAAGAGTATTGAAAATAAATTGAAAATAGTATCTTAAAGTGTATTGAATAATACATTTAAATATTTAATTTGCTTCCATATATAATAAAAAGAAACATTAGAGATGTTGGAACAGCAAATGTTGGCATTTTTGCTTAAAAATCCATCTATTTTCTACACACCGCTTAATCCTCACTAGGGTTGCGAGTGGGCTGGAGCCTATCCAAGCCGACTTAGGGCGAAGGCAGGAATCTTTTATTCAGTTGGTTAATTATTTGTACAATTGTCGCCCCTCCAGTTAGTCTTTTGAGACCCATGCTACTAGTGCAGGGGTGCCCAATCCTGGTCCTCGAGGGCCCACAATCCTGCATGTTTTAGATGTCTCCCTCTTCCAACACTCCTGATTCAAATGATCAGCTCATCATCAAGCTCTGCAGAAGCCTGATAACGATCCTGATCATTTGAATCAGGTGTGTTGGAAGAGGGAAACATCTAAAACATGCAGGACTGTGGCCCTCGAGGACCAGGATTGCCCATCCCTGTATTTTTTTCTCACACTAATAAGATGATTTCACCACAAAGTCATTTTTTGTTTTGGTATTTAGAGGGCTTAACAGATTTGTAATAAATTGCTGTTGATTGAATTTTTGCTCAAACTGTCCTCAACACTGAAGTTTTTCAATGACTCACATCTTCATTTGCAGGCTAATCAATGACATGGGGCTGGTCTGAGCCCAGGTGATGGGGATTCATGTCTCTGAATATAATAAACCTATAATCACCACTCAGAAACTAGGACAAGTGTAATTGAAGTTACACACAGTAGTCAGTGTGCGAATGTGGCCCAGATTGATCATCTCGTCGTCTTGTGTTATAGCACCCTGGAAAGGGTATCGATGTACGGAGGAGGAAGATCTGGGACATGTACGGCCCACAGACTCTGCTGGAGGTGAGTGAGCTCAGCAGGAAGGAGGCGGATTAATTGAAACCATAATTAGGTTCTTAATTTTGTATTACTTTCTTTCCTAGCTGGAATAGCTCCTCACTGGTTTAACTTTGTGCTTTGACTCACTGGATAATGGTTTCACAAAAGAAGTAATTGTTTGTTCTGTTTCTATGGATCAGTGGACTATTTTTGAACTGTGAAAAAAATCTTTTGTATCAATACACAAAAGGGAAATCCGATTTCAACAATATCACCTCATCATCATCTAGAGGTGAAATCAGTGCTTTAAAAAAGTTAACTTTTCAAAGTTCGTTTGTAAATGCTGAATTCGGACAAAAATATGTGATATACACGCATTAGCAGAGAATCCTAACCCCACAAATACCAAAAGTTGAGAGACAGCACTAAAGACCATGTGCATCATGGTAGTCTTAACTTTCCAATCATACCTAACTCTATGATGGAATGACTAAACCATGTGTCTTTGTCACAAAAACCTTCATGCATTTTGGTTCTTTCATAGATTTATTTAAGATCTTCTGAAAAACTAATGACATACTGCCATGCTAATATGAAGTCATTTGGCCATTTTCACCGCAAATGGGCTTTTTTGTTAGCCGTCCACAAGCTTCTGACAAGTTTCTGGTTCTATCTTTGACCACTTCTCTTGACAGAAACGGTGCAGTTAAACTAGATTTGTTCGGTTTCTGACACAGACTTGTTTCTTCAGCACATGCAGTCCACAGGTTCTTGATGGGTTTAAGTCAGGACTTTGGGGACACCAGTGTAAAATCTTAATTCAAGGCTGATTTAGCTGTTTCTTTATCACTTTAGATGTGTGTTTGGGGTCATTGTTTTGTTGGAACACCCAACTGTGTCCAAGACCCAACCTTCTGGCTGATGATTTTACGCTATCCTGAACAATATGGAGGTGATCCTTCGTAGTCATTATTCCATTTACTTTGTGTAATGCACCAGTTCCACTGGTGGCAAAGCAGCCCCAAAGCATAATACTACCACCACCATGGTTGATTATAGGTATGGTGTTCATTGGGATAAAAGCCTCACCTTCTCTCATATTACTAACATATTTCACTTTTCTCCAGAAGACCCTTTCTTTGTCAGTGTGATCAGCTGCAAACTTCAGTCAAGCCTTAAGGTGCCACTTCTAGAGACAGGGCTTCCTCCTTGCACCGCTGCTTCTCAGCCCATGGCGATGTAAAACATGCTTGTATGTGGACATTGCCACCTGTGTTCCAGCAGCTTCTAAATCATCGTAGACATGGTTTTTGGTGATTCTTGCTTGACTCTTGACTATCCTGACCAATTGTTTGGCACAGATGATTTTGAGATCTGTAGCTGCTTTATAGTGTCTCCAAGTGACTTTACTGAGTTGTTCAAGTAGCTGATTTGTTTCTTCAGATCTGTGCTGAGCTTCTTACACATCCCCATTGTACCATTTGTGTGATGCATGTGTTTTAAGGATTCCATCATAGAAAATTAAGAGCTATAGGAGTCATTGGAAACTCAGGACGAATATGATAGATGTGGTTATTATAAGTATAGGTCAACTTTTGTTTATAAATGGCCTCAGTCACTCATTTGACAACAAATTGCTGACTGCTTCCATTTCAAATCATCAGTTGTTGACTGATTGGAGCAGAGCTGAGAAAACAGTTCTTCTGGGCCTGCCATACTAAGTCCTGAGCCTTTATTTGGAAGCTCTCTAAAGCTTCTACAAGCTTAAATACCCTTCCATGACATCATTTGTGATGTTACTGATGGGGCTGCCCTTTAAAATATGAAATTATTTACATAAATTGTTTGGGCTGTATCACTGTTTTTTCAAGGAGATTTCGTTTTTTTATTCTATTTTGTGGATCCACATTAAACCAACCCGTCCTGTTAAATGAGTTTGATAAATTCCACATTGGTTCATGCTATGTGATACATTACAAGTTTAAGGACAGCATTTTGTACCCCTTACGTTCTCCTGAATTAAGTCATACCAGCATGCATCTTCCCTGCTCTGAGAAGCTCTTGTTCTTTTTTTGGTCTTTGCTATTTCAGGAAAAGGCAATTACTCCCAGCGAGAGCTTTTTATTCCCGGGTACAGACTGGCTGATTGGGAACCACTCGGACGAGCTCACACCATGGATCCCCGTTATAGCAGCCAGGCAAGTCATCAGGAGACGCAATCACGCTCAGCGGCTCAAGTGCCAGCTGATCTCTCCAATTTGGAATAACATTATGGGCAGGGGATTATGTGTGAATAAGTGTGTGTTTGTCCCCACGCTTGTCACTTTTCAAAGGTGTCTTAATTTAGTCGACCACCTGATGGCGATGTTGAACCTCAGTCTGAGAAACCTGCTTTTTCTTCTATGTAACTACTGATATTAATCCCTAGTAATTGCTTGTTGTGTGTAGGACAGCTTGAGATTCAGTACCTTTAAAAAAAATAAAGGAACATATTTAAATGAACATAAGCAACACGTACACTCAGTACATTAACTACTAAAGACTTGGAATAATCTTGTACGTGGGTACTGGCTAAAGATTTTTCTTCTTTTTGAAATTGCAGGTCATCTTACTCCTGCCGCTACTTTGTCCTCCCCTGCTGTTTCTTTGACTTTTACGGAAAATACCAGAGACGCCAGTGTAAAAAGTCTCAGTATAAAGAATACATCGACTTCATCGCTGAAGTCAGCCAAGTCTGTGGCTTCAACACCGAAGAAGACTGCTTGAGAATACCGTCCACCAAACGGGTAGGCTTACAATTACAACACTTGTTTGACATCTTTTTTTTCCTCCAAACAAGTCACAGAGTAGTCAACATCTGACTTCTTATTTTGCTTATAAAAACTACACAAAGGAACTCATGTCACCCTGCCTGTCCATGTTATCAGTAGTCAATTGCAATTCTCCTTGTCTGATTCTAACTGGGGACATTTTTGCTTCTTGTCGTTTCTCCTCATGTTTCCTGTTCAATTTTGGTTTCAGCATTAAATAAAAAAAAAAAAAATCTTTTGGGGTCAACAGTATTTGCTTGGTATGAGTCAAAACTCCTGAATCCTACATTTCCCATAATGCAACTCAACCACCTCTTTCATTCTTCTTGGTAAATGCCCACACCTTTCAAACTCCACAAAATCAGTTTACTGAAGTGTCTAAATCTTCCTAAATAATTGAACAAACGCTCTATGTTGATTGCTTGGCTTTTAAAATAATTTTACTTAAATTTTACTGTTATTTTGTGCTGGCAGTGTGTAGAACGACTACATGGTGCCACAATCAGAGCATGGTTAAAGAGTCTGTATCCAGGATTCATGCACAGCTGTGTGACCCGGCCCTTTCTCCGCCTGGCCTTCATTTAGAGCAGACAGACATAACAAAAACAACTGTTTATTGTCCCCAAAGGAGCATTTGTTTCATAGTTTGTGACCATTAATAGCTACAATACACATGTGCACATTTAAAAAGTTGGGCTTTAACGTCTGCTTATCATAGCAGTTTGTTAACAACAGCAAAAGCTTCGGAACAGTTTTTCCACAAATTTAGAACATGTGTTCAAAATTATGTCGTATTATGTTGCCCCTGTTTCATTTCTTCTCTCAGTAGGAGCTTATTTATTGAAAAAGGGTGTTGTCATTTGAGCTTTGAGCTGCTGGTTTTACGCTTTCAGTCCTCAGCACCTCTGAGAGTCGACCTGACATTCAGCTTTTCCTCCTGCAGGTGTGTCTGGTAGGAAAGTCGAGAAACTACGAGCTACCTGACGAGGCCGAGTCGGAGCAACGAAGAGCTAATCTCATCCAGAGCCGACAGATTTGCCCCGGGGTCGCAGTTGAAAGGTCAGACGTCGGAAATGATGGGGACGGTTGCCATGGGAACGCAGAGGGTGACAGCACCTGGGGAGCCGGGTTTCAGCCCCGAGAAAAGGTTCACACGGTTCGAAACTGCGCCGCTCTCCCGCGGGACTTTGTTGACAGCGTTGTCCTGCGGGTTGCTAAAGTTCTCCTGGGAATGACTGCAGATGACAGCAAAGGGTCCTGCAGCGGCTGGAACGAAGGAGGTAAAGCACTGCAAAAATCACCAAAACATTCAAGATGCAAAAAAAACAATTAAAGCAGTAATAAGTCTCCCAGGACATGAGCTTTTACTGAAGCGATGACCAAATTTAATACAGGATATTCTGTGAAGTGTGCTGATCTGGTACTTAGTATTGTTTACAATGAGGATTCTGAATTTATGGGAAGCTCTACTGTCATTGAAAGTCAAAAATAAGCATCTACAGAAACAGTTAAGTTTTTTGTAGCTTAGCTGACAAAACTGCATCACATATATAAAGGTCGCCCTTCATTTTGTGTCTTTCCATGCTTTATATTTCTGAAATCGTCCCCCCACTACCAACATAGCACTTAAAAATGCACACACTGCACAGTATCTGCTGACAAAATGTGCTAGTTTGACTTTCTTGTACAGTTCAGTTAGCATTTAATGAGCTAATAATAAACATTATTATTACCAGTGATAACCCATAGCTTCTCAACTTTGCCATGTGTCTGTCTCTGTGACATTAATAGTTAAACTGTCTCAATTAGTTGTCAGAATATCAAATTATTTAGAGGTCAATACATTAAGGCAAACTAAACTGCAAATTTAAAAACCTGTGCATGTTTATACATTTCTGTGCCGTTATGTATTCAGACTTAGGCTCATAAATTTCCACTATATGACCAAAAGAATTCACAACAACACCACCATCTTGATATCTATAGAACATTTTTTAAAAACATGGTCTTCAGTGTTAAGGTGCAACATTGCTAACTACTGCATTGGAGTGTCAACCAGGTAGTTATGAGCAATGGATTATTTACGATGCCATATGTATATTATTAACATCCATCCATTATCTATACACCGCTTAGTCCTCACTAGGGTAACAGGAGGGCTGGAGCCTATCCCAGCTGACTTAGGGTGAAGGCAGGGGACACCCTGGACAGGTCACCAGTCTATCACAGGGCTCCACTTAGAGACAGACAACCAAGCACACTCACATTCACACCTACGGACATTTAGAATCACTAGTTAACCTCAACATGTTTTTGGACTGTGTGGGAGGAAGCCGGAGAACCCGGAGAGAACCCACACTGCACGGGGAGAACATGTAAACCCCATACAGAAAGATCCTGGGTGTCCTCACCGGGACGCGAACCGGCGACCTTCTTGCTGCGAGGCTATTATTAACATAACATCAATATTTCATTTGGTAAATATCCCAGTTATTGTCAGTATTAGTACAGTCAACTGCTCTAATCTTGCATTCTGGGCGATAATTTGCTTTGTGGTGGAGAGGCAGCGAAGAATATTAGAAGATAGCTCTCTTGTTCGTGTCTGTTGAATATGAGGCAAAAATAAACCAAATAAAAGAGCTAGCCAGATAAGATTACACATGTTAATTAGCAAGCCTCAGAGGTGCTGATTGATTGAGCTTGATACCTTCAGATGAACCAAGATAGCCGTTTCTATATGTTTCTAGTTTATATACTGAGCCGATATGACCGACTGTTGCTTTAAACAGATGTATTAAATCATTCCTTTACCACACTATTGACCAGATATGTCATCAGTGTGCTTGTCCTTTGTCGGCGAGATAACCTGACGCCTCCAAAACGACACAAATGAATCACTTCTCACATTTTCCATCAGAACCTTAAAATACATCTCCAGCCGCTTCGTGGCACTTTGGCAGCTTCTGCAGCCTGAACCTCTCATCTGATCCCCGCTCCATCATCTGTCTAACCCCCTCCACCCTCCCCACCTCGCTCGTCACCGCCGTGTTCCCTCTCGGGCTTCAGTCAGCAGGGCCTCGTGATGCCGAGCGACACCACTTTTAACTCTGTATCTCATTCTATGCCAGCCACTTCCTGCACCGCATGGTACAGAGTGTGCCACACACAGCATCACACACACACACACACACACAGTTTCACTCAGACACCGCCCACGCATCACCGTTGTCAGTGCCTCTGCGCCCACACACACACACACACACACACACACACACACACACACAATATGAATGAGATAAGGAGATGAAGTCTACTATGATTAAAACAGAAAATTCTCTGTCAGGTTGTCAGTGGTGAAATTAGAGGTAGAAAATATGAGGGAGAGCGAATAAAGGGAGACTGTAACTCTGTATAGCGATGACTGGATGAATAATGCACCAGCTTGGATGATTTATGCATGAGTATGCATTTGTATTGAGGTATTCCTACCAGTTATCTGCTGTGTAAGAACAAAGGGTAAATCCAGGGTGAGCCAGCCCTATGTTGAATAGATCCAAAAGGGTCTTGGAGTCAATAAAAGGGCTTTAGGCTTTAGTTTCATTCTATTCATAATGGATTCAAAAGAGTATGAGCATTTTTGATGTGGTACTTTATTAGTTTTTGAGAATTAAAATGATTGATTTTGGTTTCGTAGCTTCCTGGCTTCAAATTCAGTCCTGTTGTTTTTCTTTTTTTTCAAATTGTAAGTGCAAATAACCCTCAAAAACACACATTTGACTCCTAAGCTATCATAACAAACAGGTTGTGCACCAAGAAAAACAACAGTTCATCCCCATCAGGAGCCTGTGGATTTGCACTTTTTGCCCAATCAAAATATTCGGTGTTGGATTTGTACGGTTCTCTGCACGAAGTTATAACCTGGGATAGCTGGAGTTTGTCAGCCATATGTTTAAAATACTGCCGTCTACATATGGATCTGATCTCAACACTTATCAAGTGCTTAATGAAATCTTTTTTCGTAACAGTGGCACATCAAGAAGTGTCAAGTATTGAAAGTTTGTCTTT